TATAATGAAAGAAAACTGCAGCCCTTCCGCACTCCTGTTGTGTTATCCACATTCTGTGAAAAAGACTCATGTTTTTTTTGATTCTTAAAAAGTATTTAACAAAGAGAAATTTATAAGAAAACATAATGAAGCTTGTGATAAAAAATCTTTCACAGCTGTGCAAAACTTACCACCTCATGAAGCTCACCCCATCATTTCATGTCCTGAAGGAAAGTGTTGTATTGATACTTCCAGAGCACCAATGCTAATGAAGACAAAGACCTAGAATATGCATCCATTCCCACATCTTCACTACTTTACCATGATCTCCTATCCTCCACACATAGGCCCCTCCTCATGCACACACACATTAACAGTAGCACAATATTTATTTTAATCTGGATATTTGTTCATCTGATTCTGAACCTCCCACTACCTCCTACAATGCTGTCGTCAAGTACTCATCCAGTTCTTCTTGAAGGGTTTGATCGACATATATTCCCAGTAAGATAAATCGTCCATTCCATGTTAATTTAGAAAGAATAATTTTTTGGTAGTTGTGAAATATTAATTTGGCAAAAGACCGATCAGCCTCCATGACTGTGGGCTCCTCCATGTGCAGAACTAAGACCTAATTGGAGTAGTTCTTCTATGCACAGTAGCATCTCAGAGTGGTTTTGGACTTGGCAAAAGATAGTCAACCTACATAACACACCATATATAACCTCCTAACAATATAAATAATAACAGGTACATCAGGGAATGATTTAAGTGTTGCACAAATAATATTGTATTTCGCTTCAAATTGGTGCAATGCCATCTGGAGGAAACCAACTGATACACAGGTTTAAGAATTGCACACACCACCTAGTGCACAAAACAGGTACAATAATAACTTCATACAGCACCAAAACACCAAAATGTAAAGTATGATGACTATTGTATTGGTTCAGATGGATGTTAAAAATCCGATGGCACTATTCGAAAAGAGGAGTGAGTTTCTCCTGGTGTCCTGGCCGGGAGAAAAAAATTGTGATATTTTGTTACCAGTCGTATAACTAGCATTAATAAATAAATCCTTTATTCACAGGCAAGAATCCATTCCTGTAACAGCAGCTGCTCATGCAATTTTTAATGTGTAACTTGACACTCAGGAAAAGAAGTCAATTATTAATCATATGGTTAAATGATGGTAGAGTGAAGCAAAGAATCAGTTTCAAAGGGAATAACCAGATTCAAAAAAGTTCAAGGGGATATTTTCTCTTGTGTTGCTAAATTCCCCCCACCTCACTGTTTGGCTTATAATGAAAAGGAGAGGACAGTAAATTTACTGGCAAGTAGGAAATATCCCTCTTCCTGGTTTCTTCATTTGAGCCAGAGTCATTGAAAGAATGATGCGCGAACTCTGTTTCAAGAAAGTTGAGATCAGGCAATATTTCTCCCAAGGGAACCCTATCCACTGGGAGATGAATATATATATATATGTAGGTCTAAATTCTGGTATTTCTAAACAAGAAATCTTAAGTCATGCATATAGTAACTGCTGGTCATTGTTGTACATCACATTGGCGGCTGTGTGAACTCTACTTTTGTGATAATTGGTGTCTTTTCTGAGCAAGAGTACTACTACTAATAATAATCCTTGCATTTGATATAGCGCTTTTCACGTCTGCTAGACATCTCAAAGCGCTTCACAGAATATACTGTACAGTGAATTGACTGTATATTTGTGCGTGAAACGCAGCATCGAATATGCGCACAGCAGTGTCCCACAAACAGCTTAGCCTCTGCTTTGTCTATTACAATATTATGTTTTCAATTAATTACATTTTTGCTTCAACTGATGCAGTTATTCTGATTGTTGTATAATGAGACTTTTCCTGGTTTGGCAACAGTTTTTATGATGGAGATGACCCTTTAAATAACATTGCCAAATAGATAGGTAACCTCAGGATACTTTTAATGTATGAACAGCAACAAAGTGGCTTAAATAAAATTCTAAATGTTCTGTAAGCAAACGAATGGCTTAATAATTCTACTATCAGGCACACTTCACTTTCGATCTCCCCATTTAGCTCATTTTTTATTAAAGAATCCTATGCCATAACCATCTTTCTGGTCACACAATGTGATCCACAAAATTAAAATATTTTTCAGTTGTGCACAACAAGTCATTTGCTAACATAAAGTTGTCAGTGTAATAGTTATGCTTAAGTGATTGCAACTAGGGCAATGAGTATGAAAATAAGTAACAGACAGGATGCAACAGAATGGAAGAGAAATACTGTACACTGTACTGTGTTCCCATTACCACAATCCTCAGCATGCTCCACTGTTTCACTGTCTTGAAACAAATAGACTTCAAGCTATGTAAATGCAAGCTGCTGCAATTGTATTGAAAATAAATTGCTTTATTGGAACTGGCTTTTTTTTGTATTAAATAACAGGATAATGGTTAAACGCAACATGTCCTCCACTTTATTGCTACCGCATGTCACAAGTTATTTTAAAGGATAAAAGTTACACCAAGCAACATGAAATGTTTGCCCAGAATACTATTGATTACATTGGCCACAAATTACCAACGTAAAATTAAAATCCTACTGACTCATAACTTGCTGTGGCAAGCTAATTCAAGATGATATATTTTTGTAAAATGCATTTAATCATGTGCTAAATGTTCTCCTCTAGTCTTATTTATCAAGATTGGCTAAATGGGTCACAGTACTGCTGCTGGATTATTATGGGTAAGTGTGGGTGAGACCAGGCTGCTCAAGACTTCATAAAAATAGCTCGATGCTCTTCTAGGTCAATGGAATATATTATGATTTAGGCTCATACTCCTGTATAGTACTGTTGTGGGACCTACTACATGTTAGAGATGTTGCATTTTGGAATGAGATGCTAAAACGCAGGCTCTGACTCCTTGTTTTTTCAAGAGGGAACTAAAGATACCATGACATTGAATGAAAAGAGAGGAAATTTTCTCTTGCTGTCCAGGCCGATGTATTTCCACAGTAATTCATCACTCACCTTAGCGCTGGTGCAAATGGCTGCTGCATTTTGCCTACAAAAAGATTCACACTTAGCTGTGATGACCTCCTAAGTGCTTTGAAATTGTTCAATGTGATTATAAAGCCAAGAACACTGTGACAAGCAGGTTCACCTATTAGTTCACCTTAAATCCTCTCCCTAGCTGCACAAAATTAAAGAAAAAAATGTAACCTTCTGTCTTAATGCAGAATAATAAACAGGTTGGCTTTTTATTATTCTTATATTCATTGTTAAAACGCAGCAGCCCCTTTGCTGTCCAGTGCCTTGGGGATGTCCTCGCGATGTGAAGGATGCTATATAAATGCAATATGTTGTTGTTTGGGGTTAAGCCATGATCACTGGGGAATTCTTGCCAAAACCAACGTAGGAACAAAACCTTGCAACTTGCCCTGCACTGCCATGAAACAGCTCCACCCAGTCAGTGAAGCAGCCAGTGGGCTTCCTGTGCAGTGCCATCCACACAAACACTCACACCCACACACAAACACACCCACAAACACACACACCCAAACACACACACACACAAACACACACCCACACACACAAACACACCCACACACAAACACACACACACACAAACACACACACACCCACACACAAACACACCCACACACCCACACACACACAAACACACACCCACACACACACCCACACACAAACACACCCACACACAAACACACACACACAAACACACAAACACACACCCACACACAAACACACACCCACACACAAACACACCCACACACCCACACACAAACACACCCACACACACACAAACACACACCCACACACAAACACACACCCACACACAAACACACCCACACACCCACACACAAACACACCCACACACACACAAACACACACCCACACACAAACACACCCACACACACACAAACACACACCCACACACAAACACACACCCACACACAAACACACCCACACACCCACACACAAATACACCCACACACACACAAACACTCACACACACACAAACACACCCACACACAAACACAAACACACACCCCCACACAAACACACACACACACACAAACACACACCCACACACAAACACACCCACACACAAACACACACCCACACACAAACACACACCCACACACAAACACACACCCACACACAAACACACACCCACACACAAACACACCCACACACAAACACACACACACACACCCACACACACACACACCCACACACAAACACACCCACACACACACAAACACACCCACACCCACAAACACACCCACACACACACAAACACACCCACACACCCACAAACACAACCACACACACACAAACACACCCACACACAAACACACACCCACCCCCACAAACACACATCCACACACACACACACCCACAAACACACACCCCCACAAACACACACAAACACACACCCACAAACACACACCCACACACAAACACACACCCACACACAAACACACACAAACACACACACCCACCCACAAACACACACCCCCACAAACACACCCACACCCACACACAAACACTCACACAAACACACACCCACACACAAACACACACACACAAACACACACCCCCACAAACACACACCCACACACAAACACTCACACACACACACCCACACACAAACACACACACCCACACACAAACACACACACACCCACACACAAACACACACACCCACAAACACCCCCCCCCACAAACACACACCCACACACAAACACACACACACCCACAAACACACACCCACACAAACACACAAACACACACCCACACAAACACACCCACACACACAAACACACAAACACACACCCACACAAACACACCCACACACACAAACACACCCCCCCACAAACACACACCCACACACACATCCACACAAACACACCCACACACACATCCACACAAACACTCACCCCCCCCCCCTCTGCCCAGTTGGGCAGTGCTGGTGTCAGCTGATCGGGGAGAGGGAGGGAGAGGGGGAGAGAGAGGGAGAGCGCCGTCTGCGCAATCCCACAGCTGCTTCATTGACATATTCTGCAAATGTTGGTGTCGGGGAAGGCAGCGGAGAGGCAGAGCTATTGTTTGGCTTTATTTTAAATCATATATATATATATATACACACACTCCCTCCCTCCCCCTGTGCTGGTGCTGTGGGTTTGTTGGGTACAATGGTTTGCGGCGGCTTCACCTGCTCCAAGAACTCGCTATGTGTCCTGAACCTCCTCTACATCGTGAGTACTGCACTGGGGATCATCTGAACCCACAGAGAGGGGGGAGGGGGGGGGGGGAAGGGAGAGAGCAGAATGGGGGGAAAGAGGGGGGGGTAGAAGGGAGGAGGGAGGGGGGAGAGGGAAGGAGAGGGAGAGGGAAGGAGGTAGAGGGAGAGCAACGACGAGTGGGAAGGGGAGAAGAGAAAAACAGTGGAGGGAGAGGGAGAGAAGAAGAGGGAGAATGGGGGAGAGGGAGGAGAGAGGGGTGGGGGGGGGGAGAAAGGGGGGGAGGAGAAAGGGGAAATTGCACATTGCTGTGCTACTTAATCTTAAACCAAACATCCCCTAAATAGATTTATTTCCCTTTTTCGTGCGTCTTATTTGCTACTACAATGTTCGGTTGTGTCATTTTTGTCTCGTGCCGTTGCCGTACCGTCTACGTCCCATTCTGTGTAATGGATTCATTCGCTTCCTCCCTCGCCTCCTTCAAGGCCGGTCTCGAGACCCTCCTCTTCGATCGTGCCTTCAGTCGCCCTCCCACCTCTCTGCGTTTCCTCACCCCCTACCCCACCCCTCCCCCATGCTCGGGTCCTGACCCCTGACTGTCCAGCGCTTCGCGACGTGAAAGGCACTCTATCAATGTAATTTTGTTGTTGTTGCATGAAAGCTTATGCGGTAGGATTTTGTGTGTCAGAAGTCGTCAGGTAATATTGTACAAGCATCACCACCCACCCCTATATTTTCTCCATTTCCCCTGCTCCCCACCTATGATCTGTTTTATTTTCCCCTTTATCATAGATCTTTCTCTGCACAACATGCATTTAATGAATATTTCTCTTGAAATGTACATTTCCTTTTAGAAAAATGGCCAACATACATGTCACTTGTTAATACTGAACAGGAATTTATTTGCATAAACTGAAGTCCAGGTAATACTGTGCATGGGTGTGTTAACACTGTACTGTAGTTCAACATTTACATTGCTGATGAGCTGTATGATTCCTGGAAATCTATTTTGGTTTAATTTACCTTGCAGTGAGGTTTAGCGCACATTTTGCAAAACTGGCCTTTACTGGATATGTACAACAGAGTTGTCCAGGAGTGTAAAATTCTCTTGTCAAAGTCATATTCTAACTTGAATATCTAACCTCCCGTTCCACTCCAAGTTCCGAGAACGAGTCATCCGCTCCTTTCTTTTTTGTCATTCCCTCTTCGAACCTCTCCAATCCGGCTTCCGCGCTGCCCACAGCACGGAAACAGCTCTGGTCAAAGTCACTGATGACATTCTGTGATCAGGGCTCCCTCTGCCTCCTTGTCCTCCTCGACCTCTGCTGCCTTCGACACTGTTGACCACTCCATTCTCATACACCGCCTCTCCTCTTTACTTAATCTTTGCGGACCTGCCCTTGCTTGGTTCAATTCCTATCTCTCTCACCATCTCCACTTTGTTGCCTCTAATGGTTTCTCCTCCAGCCCCCGCACTGTCATGTCTGGCGTCCCCCAGCGCTCTGTCCTTGGCCCTCTCCTCTTTAATATCTACATGCTCCCCCTTGGTGACATAATCCGCAGACATGGGGTCAACTCTATCTTTCTGCCTCCACCCTCAACTCCAGGACCACTGCTGTCCTGACAGACCGCCTGTCAGACATCAATAATAATCCTTGCATTTGATATAGCGCTTTTCACGTCTTCTAGACGTCCCAAAGCGCTTCACAGAATATACTGCAAAGTGAATTGACTGTATATTTGTGGGCGAATGCGGCAGCCAATTGCGCACAGCAATGTCCCACAAACAGTCGTAGATTGAAAATGACCAATTTATTATTGTTTTTTGTTTTGAAGTCCTGGATGAGGGCAAATTTCCTATAGTTGAATGTGCACACTTCAACTCACCAGCCAGTCAGGAACCGAGGTGTCTTGTTCGACCCTCAACTGTCTTTCCTTCCCCACATCCAAACCATGACTCGCTCTGCCTTCCCTCACCTCCGTAGCATCGCCCGACTCCGCCACTACCTCACCCCTCGGGGCGCTGAAACTCTTGTTCATGCCTTCATCACCTCAAAGGCTCGACTATGCAAATGCCCTGCTTGTCGACCTTCCCAACTCCTCCCTCCACAGGCTGCAGGTAATCCAGAACTCTGCAGCCCGTGTCCTCTCCCGCACCAAACTCCGTGACCCCATCTCCCCCATTCTCGCCCAACTCCATTGGCTCCCTATCCTTCAGAGGATCCAGTTCAAGATCCTGGTCCTCACCTGCAAAGCTCTCCATGGCCTCGTCCCACCCTACTTCTCCGACCTCCTAACCCCCTACCAACCCGCCCGCTCCCTCCGCTCAGCCGGCTCTGGCCTGCTCCACATCCCCCGACCCACCCGCCCCAACATTGGCGGGAGAGCCTTCAGCCACTCTGCCCCCAACCTCTGGAATTCCATCCTCCAATCACTCCACCTCACCCCCTCCTTAGCCTCCTTCAAGTCCCACCTCAAGACCCTCCTCTTCGACCATGCCATCGGCCACCCCCCTTCCCCTCCCTTCTCCCCCCCGACCCCAGCTCGGATCTGAAATGTTGTACACTGTTCAGCTCCTTGGGACGTCCTCCCGACATGAAAGGCGCTGTACAAATGTAATCTTGTTGTTGTTGAATAATGAATGCATTAACTCATGCTTTTGGCCACATGTTCAGAAGTGCAGTATTTAATCTACCCACCAGTGACGTATATTCAAAATATTTGGCGCCTGAGAGCAATTACAATACAGCAAGCAGCCTGTACCCATGAGGTCACAAAACATGGTCTCTATTTTAGTTTCAGCCTGGATCAGTTGGTAGGACCTTTGCCTCTTAGAATTCAACCTGTTTAGGCCGGTACTGCAATGCAATGCAGAGAGTGTGCTGCATTTTTTGATTAGCTGTCCTTCAGATGAGACTTTAAACCAAGGTTGTGTCTGCCTGTTCAGGTGGACATTAAAGTCACAGCACTGTTCAAAAAGAGAAGGGAGTTTCTGCTGATATTTTTGCCAAAGTTCCTCCAAATAAAATAGATTTACTGTAAATAAAGTGTAGTGACTATTTTGTAGGTGAATTAGGCAGCCAGTTTGTGCACAGTGATGTCACACAAATGGCCATGAAGTGACTGATCAGTTACATCAAGAGGATTGTTAGCCAGGACACCAGGAGAGACTCCCTGCTGTTTTCAAATACTGCCATAAAATCTTTTAACATCCACCCGAACAAGCTGAGAAGACCTTGGTTTTAATGTCTTATCCAAAGGATGGAATCTCTGACAATGATCCCCCAGCGTGAATCTACACTATGCCATACTTAAATAGCAGCTTAAATAAGAAATCAGAGTGCAGCTGGCACTTGTGGAGGTAAGGGATAAGAGGAAGGGATTAACATCCTCATTTTTTCATGGGAAAGGCAAATCAGACAGTATTTCCTGTCAGGCCTTCCATGATTACTTTCTGTGGGCTGATCATGAATGAGTCATGACAAGCTAAACACCTTGTTTTGACATTCTTTTAGGTACATTTCATTTAGAGCTGTAGTCCACAATGCATTGTTTTAAGATGTGTATGAAGCCAATGCATGAAAATATTTGTAATCTACAATGTTGCTGCTGCTGTGAAATTGTTACATACTATTTGCACACCAGTGGTGACCTCCCATAAGTCTTCCCCACTCCGTTTCAGTTGGCTACTGCAATGAAATACTAACCCTTTTTGAATATTGGGATTAAGGTATTAAACAGGATTTTATTTTTTTAGCCTTCCCGTGAATTAAATCAGGAGCTACTGTTGTTGTAATTTCGGGATTAGCATTTGGACAGATGCAATTTTCAGAAAAATTCTGATCATCAGTACTATTAATTATTGAGACCGAGGCTCTCCTGGTTGGCTCCCGTCAGCGCCTCCTCACATCAGTGGCTGACAGCATCACCATCCATGGTTGAACACTTCACCTTGCTAAGCCAGTCCAGAGCCTTGGGGTCTTGTTTGACCCTCAACTATCCTCAACTATCCCATGTCTGCACCATGACCCGCTCTGCCTTTCCCACCTCCGCAACGTTGCCCGGCTCCGGCACTGCTCCCACCCTCTGGAACTCCATCCCGCAGTCCCTCCGTCTCACCCCCTCCCTCGCCACCTTCAAGACCTACCTCACGACCCTTCTCTTCGACCGTGCTTTCGATCTCCCTCCATTCAGCTACCTTAAACGTACTGTGATGTGCAATGCAGGAATAGGACAATACTTTAGGATTGCTTTACTATTGAGCATGCAAATACAGGACGCCCCTTTTAGAATGTGCTCCGGTTGAGCATAGGTTCACTTAAAGCATGATTCTATGGACCCTGGAAATATTGGAAATGCGATACATCCAGCGATACTTCCTGACTAGCTGGCTTCCTGTGCTTAAAACATGACCAACTTCAGGGTTGCACTGATATCTCTTCCTGTAAACTGCACATAGTTATATGTCCAGGAATTGCTTGCTGATATCACTTCATGAAGTAATGTCAGCTGCACTTTCTGAACATAACTTCAATCTGATGAAATGGATGTCGGCCATTTTTTTTGCTTAATTATTCTCTGAGATATTGGACCCAGGTAACTGTTATATCAGGGCTCAGTACTTACATTTTTAAAAGCAAAAGAAATGGAATTCTATGTTTTATATATAGGAGCAAGAAGGTAACGGGACTACTTTAGAGGTCCAATCATTGATGTGCGCCTCAGATTGAGGGATCCCATCCTACCAGGGCCATGAGGATCCCCACCGAGGTTCATTAGAGCGCTAAATTGCGAATGGTCCAGTAAATTGACTCTGAATTTGTGTGAGGCATTGCTTGACCACAGTTAAAATGTTGCATCCAGTTTTCAATTCCAAATATACAAAGGATCCCAGAGCCATGGAGAACATAAGAACATAAAACTATACGTGAGAAGGTTTAGTGAAGATTCACTCAGGTATTACAAAATAATGGTTAGAAGATTTTTATTTACACACATGTTCATTAGAATATGCA